GAGAGAGAGAGAGAGAGAGAGAGAGAGAGAGAGAGTAAGTTATGTGAACACATTTTGCTATGGAGTATGGACGTCTTTGGGACTGTTCTCTGCAGTTTTCAAAGAAGTGATGTTTTCAAATGTTTTTGTAGTTCTGTTTGTATGTTGTTGTCACTTGTTGAACTGTACGGTTGCAGGCACCACGTCGAAGCGCCTTGGAGGTATGTAAGCCGGGATGCCAAACATGTTTTTGAAGTTTGTTTCTTTTATTGATTTTTATTTTTTTTTTTGTTTTGTCTGTTGATCAGCTTCGTCTATTATTGAACCTTGAAGTTGCTAAGTTTTATGTAAGTCGCGATGCCAAATGTATCAAGTTATTAAAAAACACCAGGACTTGCAAAAAAAAAAATAATAATAAAAAAAATCCGGACCGTCCGGATCGTCCAATGTTCGAAGGTCCGAAAATGTCCGGACGTCCGGACGTCCAAACAACCGGACACGTGTCCGGTTTGATGTTCGGAAATGTCCTTGTCTGGGTCCGGCGTAGCCATGCTGAATTCATCCTCTTGCAGGATGACATTCACCGTTCTTATTTTACTAACTGGGATGACCGGATTACCAGTCTGGAGAATAGCCACTCAACTTTTTCCAAGAAGTTGGATGACATTTCTGCCAAACTGGATCTGATCTTTACTCACCTCAAGATCCCTACCACTTCCCCTGCTCCTCCCTCTCCTGGACCTTCTCAAGGAAGACCCACATCAACCCCACAATCCAGACATACATCTCCACCCTCTACACCCACATCAACAGCAGCTTCACAGCCCTCAACACCATTTGAGTTTCAGCGGCCTAAGCTGACACTGCCACCCATGTTCTCAGGCGAGGACCCGAAGGTAGATGTGGCAGATTGGGTCGCTGCACAGAGAACCTACCTGAGTGGGATGTCAACGTGTCTGCCATCCTTGCTCGCTTGGAGCGATCAGCATTGAAATGGTGCACCTCCACCTCCAGCAAGCAAGGTATGAAGATGTCTGATTGGGCACAAAGGTTGCGGGTGGCTGGATTTCTGCAGGCACTGCAAGACCGGTTTGCAGACAAGGAGCAGGCCAGGAAGGCAACAGATAAAATTATGCGCCTAGGCCAGAAAAAGTTTGATGGCTCCTTGTCCAAACTGTATTCCATCTTTGAGAGTCTTACATCGACTCCTGGGATGGAGATGAGTGAGCAGGATTTGCTCATCCATTTCCTCAGAGCAACGCCTGAGCAATTCCAACTTGCTCTATTCTCTCAGGGCCACAAGGACTGGCGGTCCTTTGGCATAGCAGCCCTGGACTTGGAGTCCAAACTCCATGTCCAGGAGGCACCTTCTGAAGGAAGGAAGGGACCCTCCTCCAAAGGGCGAAGAAGGAGGAAGGGTGCCCTCTTTGCTGCTGTAGCGTCATGATCAGATAGTAACGCAACATCCCAAGGTGGGAGTCCTCCACCTGGGACTGCATCATCATCTGCTGCAGATTCTGTTGTTCTTGCCCTGGCTAATGCTTTGATGGGCTTGACAAAGGGCAAGGCCCCAACCCAAAAAAGCATCAACCAGCAAACACGGGAAAGGAAAGGGGCACGCCTCTTCCCCTGGGGCCCAGAGAGTACCTTTACCACGTGACGTCCGCTGGCCAGCTGATCCCCTTGATCCTTCCACCTTCCCCTGGCATGCACAGGATTGTCCAGCATGCCTAGCAGGTCTACAAGCAGCTCTAGTTCAAAAACTAGAGCAAAGAGAGGTCGAAGCAACAGCTCCTTCCACCAGTGCTGATTCACTTTCTGATGAAGGTGAATCTTCACAGTCTCTCGCTGGTTCTTCTTTCGTAGGAGTTGCATCATCAGGGTCCTTCACTTTTGAAGACTCCGAGTTCGATGAGACGTGGGAGGAGGAGGATGCTCAGTGCCTGGCTGATCTTTTCCTGTCTTTGCAGGAGAAGAAAAAGAACAAGTCTGAACTCATTCTACTTCGACCCTCTATCCTGGGAGCCAAGATCAAAGGGCTCTTATACTGTGGGGCTACTCACAACTTCATCTCTCCCAAGGCAGTCAGCAAGCTGCACTTGGATCAGAGGTTGGTGAAATTGCGACATCCTTTAGAGGTGCGCATTGGAGACTCTTCCACAGTCAGGATCACTACTGCTGTCAAGGGCCTACCTGTGTCCTTTGACAAGCAGGGAGAAGTCAGGCATTGCCTGAACTGCTACGTGTTTCCTATTGTCCCCTTTGACCTTGTCTTCTCTATGCAGTGGCTTGGTGCCACCAATCCTAGGATTGACTGGCGGATCCCTAGGGTTGAGCTACCTGACCGGCATGGGGTTTATCGCCCTTACATGCTCGCTGATGAGTACCATCCGGCCAGTAGCTGTTATTGCACGAGTGCTCACAAATTTTAGCGATTCTCACGCCAGACAGGCCACGCCCGTCTGTTCGTGGCTTATGTCAAACAAACTGACGTGGAGACTGCTCCCTGTCCCTCTCAGATTCAGCAGGTTGTGGACAGCTTCTCAGATCTTATGGAGGAGGCTATTGGACTTGTCCATAGGCAGACCAAACATAAGATTGAGATCCTGCCTAGTTCGGTCCCTCCCAAGGGCCGAGTCTACATGATGTCACCTGCTGAACTTGAAGAGCGCACCAGTCCTCTTTGTTCCAAAGGGGAATGGTGAATTCCGGATGTGCGTGGACTATAGAGGTCTCAATAAAATCACGAGGAAGTCTACAGAGCCCCTTCCTCGCATTGATGATCTGTTGGATATGGTGCAGGGTTGTACCATCTTTAGCAAAATCGACCTCAAATCTGGCTATCACCAGATTGAGATGCTTGAAGGCGATGTCCACAAGACAGCCTTCAGAACCAGGTATGCACCTTCCAAACAGAGATGCATTGCATACTCAGGCCTTACCTGGACAAGTTCGTAGTTGTCTACCTTGATGATATCTTGGTATTCAGTCGTTCTGTCTAGGAGCATGCGCAATATCTGGCTCTGGTCCTCCAGGCTTTACGTGATAACCAGTATAAGATTAACAGGGAGAAGTCCTCTTTTGGAGTTCCCTCTGTAGTCTACTTGGGACACGTTATTGCTGGAGAGGGGTTGGTTCCTGAAGCAACAAAAGTTGCTGCAATTCAGGACTGGCCGCGAGCTGCTAACATTCTTGATGTCCGGTCATTCTTGGGGCTTGCATCGTATTATAGAAAGTTCATTAAGAACTTCTCTTCTATTGCAGCTCCCTTGACTGATCTCACAAAGAAAAACACTTCCTTTTTTTGGACATCAGAATGTCAGGAGGCTTTCACACGTCTCAAGGAGGCCTTGATTCGTGCCCCTGTTTTGAAGCTACCTGAACCTACTCTGCCTTTTGTGCTTACTACTGATGCTAGTCAGTATGGTGTAGGGGCGGTACTTCAACAGGATGATGGGAATGGTGTGCAGCCTATCGAGTATATGAGCAAGAAGATCAAAACTAAGAAGTTGCAGGACTCTACCTATGAGAAAGAGCTTTATGCTCTTGTGTCAGCGCTCAAGCATTGGAAACACTTTCTCCAAGGCAGACACTTCAAGATCTTTTCAGATCATTCCACCTTGCAGTGGATGAAGTCCCAGGGAGAGTTGAATGACAAGCTTGCTCGCAACATTCAGTTCATTGACATGTTTGACTTTGAACTGAAGCACAAGAAGGGCTGCTACAACCGAGTGACAAATGCCCTTTCTCGTAGGCCTGACGTTCTTTTCCTGATCTCCTTTACTCACTCATTTGGAGAGAGGACTCATCAGACCATTGCCCAATCGCTGCCCAGGATGAGATCTTTGGGCCTATTGTGAGGAATCTCCAGGACGATCTTGCCTCTGAACCAAGATATACTCAGGTTTCAGGTCTGTTGTACACATGCAGCAGAGGTGAGGAGCGCCTGTGCATTCCCCAAGACCGCACACTGAGAACACTTCTGATGTTAGAGTGCCATGATGCTTGTGGTCACTTTGGCGCCCTCAAATCTTATGCAGCCCTGTCGCAGCGCTTCTTCTGGAAGGAGATGAGGAGTGACATGCTGCACTATGTGGAAACCTATGAGTTATGCCAAAGGAACAAGGTTGTACGTCGACCTCCCCTTGGCCTACTCAAACCACTACCTATCCCTGATGCACCTGCACAGTCAGTTTCTATTGATTGTACTGACTTGGGTAGGACTATACCTCGTGGTATGCGTCAGGTCATGGTATGTGTAGATTGGTTCTCCAAATATGCAGAGTCCATCCCCTTACCAACTGAGGTTGTGTGCCAGCCGTTCACGAGGCGTTTGCTGACAGGTGGGTTACACATCATGGACCACCCACCTCTATCGTCAGTGACAGAGATCCCCGATTTTGCAACAATGAATGGCAATTGTACTGCAGGGATTACCTTCATTCACGTCTGGATATGACATCTGGTCGTCATCCTGAAGCCAATGGTCAGGCTGAAGTGATGAACCAGATTCTTTTCTAGCCGTTGCATCCTGTGATCAGTCCAGATCAGCAGGACTGGTGTTACAGACTCCGCCAGGGCTCGATCCCTAGTCTATCTTTTGCTGTTTCGGCTGCATCCCGTTCTCGACCTGGCACCCTTTTTCCAAACCCCTCCTTTGGTACCGTAGGGTTTTGGACAACTGGCACCATGCTGCAATTCGGGTGCCACTTTCAAATACCGCATTTTTCAGTTCGTAGGGTTTTGGACAACTGGCACCATGCTGCAATTCGGGTGCCACTTTCAAATACCGCATTTTTCAGTTCTGCCCTCGGGGCCTTTGCAGAAATGCCCTTGGTACCGTACGTGTCACCGGTACTTATACCGGCTCCCCG